CAGGAAAGAATTTCCTCCTTATATCCAATCCAAACTTCCCCTGTTTAAGTTTTAACCCGTTACCCCTTGTCCTATCACTCCAGTCCCTAATGAAGAGTCCCTCCCCAGCATCCCTATAGCCCCCCTTCAGGTACTGGAAGGCTGCTATGAGGTCTCCACGCAGCCTTCTCTTCTCCAGGCTGAACAGCCCCAACTTCCTCAGCCTGTCTTCCTACAGGAGGTACTCCAGCCCCTGATCATCCTCGTGGCCCTTCTCTGGACTTGTTCCAACAGTTCCATGTCCTTTTTATGTTGAGGATACCAGAACTGCACACAATGCTCCAGGTGAGGTCTCACAAGAGCAGAGCAGAGGGGCAGGATCACCTCCTTGGACCTGCTGGTCACGCTCCTTTTGATGCAGCCCAGGATACGGTTGCTTTCTGGGCTGCGAGCGCACACTGAAGCCGGCTCATGTTCATTTTCTCATCAATCATCACCCCCAAGTCCCTCTCCTTGGGCTGCTCTCAATCTCTTCTCTGCCCAACCTGTAGCTGTGCCTGGGATTGCTCTCACCCAGGTGTAGGACCTTGCACTTGGCATTGTTAAACTCCATGAGGTTGGCATCAGCCCACCTCACAAGCATGTCGAGGTCCCTCTGGATGGCATTCCTTCCCTCCAGGGTATCAACTGAACCACACAGCTTGGTGTCATCAGCAAACTTGCTGAGGGTGCACTCAATCCCACTGCCCATGTCAGCGACGAAGATGTTGAACAAGATCGGTCCCAACACCGACCCCTGATGTGTCCCATCTCTGTAGATGTGTCAGAGAGTGGTCCTTTATGGGTGCAATTGATCTTGCAGGTGCAAAGACTGAGGTGATCCTGCCCATGAAGAGGAGCTTATTCATCCTGTTGCTGTAGCTGGTCCATGAGGAACAGCAGTTGAGCTTTCATGCAGTTGCCACTGTGGGAAATCTTGTAGGGAAAGAAGCCCAGGTTGTGGTGCTGGCAACTTAGGATTCAAAAGCAGCTGCTAATGTGGCAGAGGGTTGCCCCCATTTCTGCCATTTCCTCTTTCGGTCTGAAGCAGAAGCATATCATTCCCATGCTGCTTCTTGCAATACCTGGTGCCTGCATGCCTCCAGCCAGCTGCTAGTCTCCCCTTGCAATCTTTACAGCTTCTGCCAGTTGTTGTGCACTAATCCTGCTGCTGTAGCCAAGCAGAGGTGGCATAATCTCTTTTGGTGATTTAACAATAATCATTTGAAAATAAATAGGTGGTCAAGTCCAGCTGAGATTGACTGTCTTTGAGATGCTTGTGTCAGTGGCCTTAGGTTTTACCATGCTCCAGTGGAAGGATGCAATGCAATGGAAAGGAGCTGAGGGTGGGGGTGATTGTTCTGGACCCTTTGTGATCCCCTCCATCAGACCCTGCAGCAGGGTATCAGATAGGGTGACCAGTCCATGTAGCACTGGAGTAGGTTTTGGCTAATGCAGTGAAAAGGCTGCTCTGCTGACCTTATTCAATATTGCAGGTTACAGAGCTCATAGCTACACTAGGCCTGTTTCATTAGCAATTACATCTCTGAATAGTTTAATAACATGTTAAGCTTCAGATAGTGATTTCTGTCAGAAGTTCATATTTTAAACTCTCAAATATAGTTGCAGATCACTGAATCAGTTGCCATCTATAATGAGACTCAAGGTGCTGACTCATGTTGTGTGCTGGTAGCTGACTCGTGGTGACTTCCTCCTGTCACCTTGCTCCAGGCGAGCCAAGACCAGAAGCCCTAATGTATTTACAGCTGGCTAAATTGCCCATATTTGTGACTACTTAGTGCTTGAAAAATTTTACACTCTCATAGTGAATATGAAGCATCTTTAGGGAATGCTGCAATTTAAAACCGAAAACTGAGCCTTGCTTCATTTATTAGGAACGATAATTTTTTTGGCCATTACTGCAGGATGAAGCACATAAGGCAGTTCTGCTCATGGCATGGCTTGTTCATGACTCCACAGACCATGTTAGAGCCTTTGTAGCTATCTGGTAGGAAAAGAAAAAAGGCTGTAATCTGGTCATGATTCAGCTCTCAGTTGTGTTCAGGTGCAACTTTGGAAAGGTTTTAACAGCAGCAGAGAGTTGCTGCAGGAAGAAAAGACTGCATGCTACCTTACTGCAGTAGGTGGGAGGTTAGGAGGTCTGAAAATACTAGAAACTGCACAACAGACAGCAGAGAATGAATTCCACTTTACTCATTTCAGCTGCTGGGGAGACTGGGAGGATTTCATGTAAGAAACCTACTGCTTGGAGGCTAATATGGAAGGTGGAAACCTGGTGCCCAGTGTGGCTGGGAAGGGGATATTGCCTCCAGTCCTTTTTAATCTGAAAGTTCAATTTCCTGGCACTGAAGTAAATTAAGATTTGCAAGTCTCGTGTTCGCATACTTGCAAAAGGGACCAAGTTCAAACATGTCACTTCTGAATGGAAGATGGAAAATACAGGGCAGGAAAGTGGTGAGGTGTATGCCAGGATATGTAGGTAAAGGTGAAGGATAAGGGAATAAAAAAAGGCAACCAGAAGACTGTGCTGAGCAGTTAAGAGCTGTTTTAAGGAACTAAAATGAACAGCTTCAGCAGCACCGTAAGGAATAAGAAGGCTACAAGAGCTGTAGAGGCATAATAAGACTTGCATCAGTGATGTTCCTTTTATTAAACCTGTATAGCTGCATTTGACTACTTCATTGCACTTAGTAAAACCAATAATGAATGAGAAATTTAGCAGGTACTTATAACTGAATATTTTTACTGTAACTGTCAGCCCCTAAGCATGTTTCCTGCTGCTGAGTAGATGGCTGGAAGACATGAATGGTTTGAATTCCAGCAACATCCTGGTCAGATTGCAGAGTTTTGGGTGGCTGATCCAATTACTGACTAGTTTGGGGTGCCTAAACTGAGACATAGGTTCTCTGTTGGCACAAAGAGCCCAAATCCCTGGGCTGTTTCTGGAGTGGCTGAGCAAAAGGGCATGATTTCATATTGGGGATGGTGGGATATAGTGACTCGCTGAAACGGGCAGACATACTCCCAGCCTGGGGATTTCCTCTGTTTCCTGGCATCTGTTCTGGAGCTTGTCTGTGCCCCTCAGAAATTAGGTTCAGGTCATTAAGCCAGCAGGAAACTAACCAAAATACGAAGTGGAAAAGTCTTCCAGCCTTTTAGCAAGCTGCACCAGTTAACAGAGCTAGAGGAACAGCCAAGCCAGCCTGAGGGAATAGGTGGCACCTCCCTGCTTGGGGGCAGCACATCATTGCATGAAACTTCCCCTCCATCAGGTCAGTGAGAATTGCAGCTGTATTGTTTCAAAGGATTATGAGAATGAATGTATTGAGGATGTTGCTGCTAAGGTGGTAGAGGCTTTAAAAGACAAAAACCAATGCAGTGTGATCTGCAGAATGTCATGTACTGGCTAGAGCACTCTTTGAGCACCCAGGTCAAATCTTCCCTCTGAGGTGATGCTGCTGCCCATTGCCACTACCAGAGGCATGTGGTGATGTGATGGCTTTCTGGTGAGGCTCATTTAACAGCAGTGGCAAGTATATGTTTCACCATGTAAAGCCGGTGTGGAGGGTGCATTCATCCCTTATACAAAAGGAGGAATGAGTTTACCTGTTCCTAGCAGGACACTTGGTGGCTCTTTCTTTGAGATGCTGTTTCATGGGGGTGCTGGGTGCTGTGGTGAGGTCCAAGGCTGCTCCTTCAGGGCAGCACAGTTTCCTCCTGCTGCTCTTGGTCATGGTCAGGAAGGCATTGCTCACATCTTCCTGCGGTGACTCAGGATGTTTGAATGTCAGCAGGTGGAAGCTCTTTGTAGACTAGAAGCCCAGGGTATGGATGTAATTTTTCACTTAATGGACTTGGCCTGTTATAAGCAGACACTGAAATTCTTGAATTGATCAGAATAGTGCTGCACAGCAAAGGAGGCTATGAATTCCTGAGATAGAGGAAAACTTTCAATAAATAGCAAAATAGGAAAGTATTGTCTGTAGTACTTCGAAAACACTGCTGTACTGAGCTACCTAGCAGTAATAGGATCCAGGGTTATGTCTTGTGAATGACTATGAAGACTGTTCTAACTTTGACTGGAAAGCTGGTTTTACTTCATCTGCCAGGAATTGTGTGTGTTTACTCTGAGGTGCAGGGGTGGTGGTAGGGGAGACAGCATCACTGCAAACCTTCTCATAAGGTTTTACTACAGGCAGGAGAGGGGACACTGCCAGGGTTTATAAACTGCCATGGTGCGGTGTGTCAAGCAAACTTGATGCAATTGCTGCAAAGAATGTCCTAGACAGGATGCTTTGCCAACTTCATAGTTGGTTTCTGCTCAACAAAACATTTCCCAGACACTGGGCTAGGAAATCCTATGTTCCTTGGGTTAGAGCCCTAGTGCTAATCTCACCCACTTCAAAAATGAGGTCCTACACTTGTCCAAAATGGGGATTGAGTTCCACCTGAGCTGAAGTGTTACAGGGCAGTTCTCTTTTAATTAGAGTTGTTCTGCTCAAGTGCAGTCTGAGTCCTAATGTGAAAAGCAGCCACTCTTTCCTTCTTTCTTTGTTAGTTTTCATCCTCTACAATGTCATAATGCTGGCTTAGCATCCCTTCTGAAATAACTCTTGCAGATGGAACTCTTCTAATTGTACTTGTTGAGGAAGCAAATCCTGAAAATTATCAAATCATTTACTTCTTTTAGGCTGTTGTATATGTTGAGGCTGCAGATTTAATATATTTAAATAAAGAAGCTAGCTGGAAGGTTTTGTACTGGCAGAAAATGAGAATTATTCTTCCTCCAAGAGTGATTATAAGTGGCCTCAACCATTACTTTTTCTTTGGAAGGGGAAGTCCAAATAGGATGCAGTTTAAAAAAGAAAAGGTTTGTAATCTCTGGTGACTACGCTTGCCCGGGCTGCTTTTCCACGCCTCTTCCACTCCCTTGACGTCATACTATTTTTGTCCCTTTCTAGCTCATTGACACAATTGCCTCAGAAATCGGAGAACTGAAACAGGAGATGGTACAGACAGATCTCACAGTGGAAGATGAATCAGCTGATTTGCAAAGGTGATTAAAATATTTTTGGTTTGTTTTTTTCCTTTCATAGTTCCTGGAGGTGTACCATAACAGGAATGTCTTCATTGTGTTCTCTTCTTGGGTGGCTTATGTCCTAGCACTTTTCATCCTAACAACATAAGGGGTGTAGGTATTCTTGCTCTTGCTTCAAGGAATTTGCCCTTCTGCAGGAGGAGCACCCAGAGATTCAGTTGTTCTCTGTATCTGCCTTAGTATCTTTTAAAAGCAACTGAACTTCACTTCTACTTCCTTGTTACAGACCTTGGATACTGATGAATGTCTAAAGCAGGAAACTACTAATGTTATTCCCATTGTCTATAGCAATGAGCTTCGCTTTCATGCTGTAAAGGCTAAAAATGTCCATTGCTCTGTGAAGATTCATCATACAATAACACGGTTTATGTTCTCAGGTTGGGAAATAAAATATTGACTAATATGAGCTAATGCTGATGTGGATTATGTGTATTTAAGTTCATTTATGTGTAACTTGCACATAAAAAAATTAAGTAGATGGGGGCATTTCCTTAACCTTATAATGATTTGAGATATATATTACAGAGCAGATCAGTTCTGGCTTTTCAAAACAGGTCATGCTGCGTAAGAGTGGACTGTGGAAATTTTTAGTCTTAAACTTGCACCTTTAAATGGGTGTAGTGGGACCCCAGCATTTTGCCTCTGCTGTGGCTGTTGTGCTTGATGGGCAGTGTCTGTTAAATTGACATCTGGGGGATATTTAGTATTCTTAATCATTGTGTTAACAAGAGAACATATTTTTTTAATTATTGTTGAAATACGTGCTGCAAGAGGAAAGCAACTTATGCAGGTTGGACGAGGCCTTGGGTGACATGGTTTAGTGTGAGGTGTCCCTGCCCATGGCATGGGGGTTGGAACTTGATGATCTTAAGGTCCTTTCCAAACCTAACTATTCTGTGATTCTATGATTCTAGGTATTCTGTTATATCTGACCTGCACAGTCTGGGCAGCTCTGGAGCTGGTAGGCTTTGTTCTTCAAGAGTTAATGAAGTGGGAAATTGCTATTTAGAATTACATCTGTGGGTTTATGGTTGTTTTTTCTTTCTGTGCTAAAACTTACTACACTATGTATTTAAATTATTTAAATAAAACATTGGGCTGCACCTTTGTTGCCCAAGTGGTAAAGAACATAAGACAGTAGTTAATTTTAAGTCCTTGACTGTGCTCCTGGTTACACATTATTCCAGTTTTAAAGCTTATGAAAGCACAGTTCTTTTACAGGGCTGGGAAGGACACTTTCTCCATTTCAGGGGATTCAGCTAATTAATGTCAATGATCATCAGTTAATTTTCAGTTAAGGAAAGGCTTTTTGTGTCTTTGAATATACCAAATGCAGAAAAGACTAAGATCTACTGGTTTCAAAATCTTGGGGGAACACTTAGCTGGAAACAGTCTATTAACTCCCTCCACTCCCTTTACAAATCCAAGAAATATTTTTATTGATTTTTTTTTTTTTAACGGTTTGTTTGTTTGTTTTTAACTATGTTAATTTCAAGTGCAAAATATATTTTGATTAAAATATGTAAGTAAAGCTGACATAAAGTGAATTATGCAATTTCCACAACTAACTGAATTAAATCTCATATTAATAGCCATCCAGTTAAGAGATACACATTCTTTTGTCACTTTTAAGATTATAAATGTAAAATATGAAATCTGAATAAATGAATTGGGGTCAATTTTTTTTTGTGACTACATAATTCTGAACTGTGTGCTTCTGTGTAAGGAAGAAATTGTATCAAAGTTTCTATAAATTATGTAATTAGTGGTGCACTGATATATTTTGCTTATCTAGAACTACAAAGCAAGGTTACAGTAACTGCAGCTAAGGTTTTACAGAGTTATTTTCATTAGACTCCTCACAAGGATGTGTTTACTATCACAGCTTTATTTCTTTGTAGTTAATTTAAAACCTTGTGTTTGATGTAGGTTGTTTTTATTATTGTGTATTCTGCTTTGCAGAAGTCGGCATCTTGATGTGACATTTGGATTTGCATCTAGAGAAATTGGAGCTAAGAGGACTGTATATTTTCCTTGCATGTTTTTCACCTTAGGATATATCCTCATGCTTCCAGAACAGTTGTAGAAAGGCAGTGGTTGCAAGAGCTCCCAACTGTATTCAGAAAAATAAGTACATGAAATCACATGAATGCAGCTTTAGTTTTTGATTTTCTTTTTTTTTTGGGGGGGGGGGTGTTGGTTTTGGTGATTTGTTTTTTAGGGAGAAGAGGGTTGTGGTTATCTGGTGACTGTCAGATTTATACTCCTCATTTATATATTTTGGATTGTCTCCACTTTTTTGCATCTATGGCCTAAGTAATATTGAGAATGCTTCAAGTAACTGTGCTTGCAATTTGGCTTCTAAGCATATAAAGCCAGGCAAAAAAGAGGCTTGTAAAATTGTTTTTAAAGTGGGATGCTCACGCCATCAGTTTCAGTATCCCATGGTGTTTAATACTTGGACTTTTTCCCAGCACAGACACACATCTCAGTTGTGCAAATGGGAAGTGCTGTGAGAAAAGGGCATAAATGGGATAAATTTCTGACCCACGCTGTACCAGTGAGAGACCTTTGAAAAGTAACTAGAGATCTGCATGCAGCAGCAGCCCAGGCCAATGTAGGATAGGGGAGCATACGTGACATGGTTGGTGGCATCCAGATGGTCTCTTAGGAGGTACTCGGTCTCCCTTGAGGGCTCCAGGACTCCTGTGTATCTGTTGTCTTTGTGAATGATAGTGGAGGGAATACGCTTGTTGATGTTCTCTTTGCCCTTGTGACTGGGAAAGGAACAAGAGGAATATTCCTCACTGCTGAGTACCAGTGGAGTGGGAAAGCAGTGAATCTGGACACAGAACTGTGTTTTGCAAGCCTTTGCCACCGTGGTAGAGTTGGCAGCAAGGCTTGCTAAGTTGCGTCTCTGCTGCCATGGGCAAAGAGCAGACCTCCCCTCACTTTCTTACTCCCTGCTAGGTAACATCAAGGTATGCAAGGACCCTAAAACCAGAGGCAAAAAAATCAAGTGAGGAAGTGTGGACACATGCAAGTTCAAGTTAGTCCTTATTTTCATTACAGTATCCGACCTGGTCTCTCACTGTCACCCTTCGCCTCGTGGCTGAGAGCATCTGGGATGATAGGCTAAATCCGGGGTTGCTCTTTCATTTGGGCTGATAACCAGCCTTAGTAGGAGTGGACTGTACTGCTTAATGGTTCCTGCAACTCCTCTCATGCCCTCAGAAGGGTGGGCAAGTTCCTCCACAGAGGGTTGTGTTTGTAACGCCTATAGCAGCTGGCTTAGTTCAACCCAGCAAACCCATGGAACTGTATCTGTCATCCTGACAGGATACGAGTGCAAGCTGGATGCACCTTCACTGTGTCTGTAGTCTCAAAGAGAGAAAAGTCCATTTCTGAGGACAGTGTCTGTCAGTGCAGGAGGCTGGAGAAGTTGACGGTAGCTGCAGGGAGCAGATAGTCTCAGTGTCCCAAGTCACACAAAAAATTGGGAGAAATGTCAGAAGTTCATGTTTTGCAATGTTAGAGCAAGAGGCATAGGTAGGATTTGAGAGACCAAAAGGAAACTGCTGTAGGAGCAGGAGGGCAGGAGCATTTACTTCATAGATATGTGATTGAGGTGTAATGTTCCAGTCTTCTGGGTATGAGGGATAGGATCATTCTGGTTACAGGCTTCAACCCATTCCTTGTCTTTTTTACTGTGAGCCAAGTCTAATTGGGATGCAACACAGCATTGTTTATCTTGGCAGTTACCTCTGTTTACTTCCCACACGCAGGTTCTCTCAAATATAAGGAAATTCACATGAATCATGTGTTTTCTTCAATTCATTGTGAGTTGTGTTGAAACTCCTCTCCCACTGGAGAGGAACCAGTGTAGCACCCTTGCATCGAAGTCGCCCATCTGTGGGGGCTGATTTGTGTTTTGATTTGGAGTTTATGTGACCCAGTTAGATTGTTTTTTTTCCTTGGGAATCATTTAAAAAGAAACAAAAAAAGAGAAAACAAACCCAAACCACACACACAAAGCCTCCCAACAACACACAAACCCCAGCAAACAAAAACCCCCAAACTAAAAGTAAAACCAGGAGAGGAATTGAGTTGTTGCATAATATACAGCATATTTGATTAGCGGTTTAGTTACAGCAACTTATTATTCTGTACACGATTCTTACACGTTCTCATGTGATCACGGGGAATGTGAATGGTTCTTCTTTCCATGCTATTGTTTCCAGAGAAATTACACACACATCCCAGTCCCAAATAATTTTACAGTCTAAGACATGACAGGTTTCAAGCGCTCCTGTGTGTCAGGGCTTGACTGTGTGGCTAGTGCCCGAATCATTAATGAAAATAGTTTAAGAATAAACAACAGACTTAGGCTGTGATGCTCAGGGGTGCTAGACCATTGCAAATGGTCTTCCTGTAATTACCACCTGGACCTTAGCAAGTGGCTTCTGATAGGTTGTGTATGGTTTGCCAGACATGGTTTTGCCAAGCTATGTTCTTGCCAGAGGTCACCAGATCTGTTGTTTTTTTTTCTCTCTGCCTCTTCCTTCATTATTTGGATAGGTACTATTTTTTTTCAGTGTCATTTGTTCCTAGTTCACCTTCCTGTGCATTGCAGTCGACATACAAGTACTGCTCTAGCTGCAGTGCACTGGGGTCATTTAAATGAGTAGAATTTAGGAGAGGCAGAAAGTCTCTTCATGATCAGGTACTCATCATCTTGGCTTATATCTGGAGGGGTTAGAAGCAGCTTCAACAAGGAGGTGCCTGTGTATGTAGGTCAGTAAGGTTCTTCCCCAGGTCTCGGCAAGTGGGAGGGATTGTGTAAAAGTACCTGGAGCTTCCAAACACCCAACAGCTCCTTATTCACACGAGTCTTACAATTTATAATGGTTTGGGTGTGTTCGACAGCACTAAGCCAGCCGGACCGAAGAGGAACACTGTGACCCTACGTACACGTGCAAACTCTTACTTGCTTTAGGTTGTTCTGTGGTAGCAAGCTGTGCCAGGCCTTACAGCTGATACCAGTCATGCATCTTCTTTTGCATATAATGTAACTTTCTTCTGTAGGCAAAATTTTTTTCCTTTTCAGCCACTTTCCCTCTGCAATGTGTTTAGTTTCCACCGCTAGACCAAGGAGTGGAAATAAGTTACGTATAGTTAAACCTGCAGCCAGTGTCCATGCATAACTTTCACTTTGCTAAATGGCTCTGAAGGTGAGTGGAAAGTTTCTGAGCAATATTTACTGGAGGTACAGTTCATGATTACACTTTTGTGATTCATGATTTGACTTTTGTGGAGATTGGTACATTACAACATTAGGTTCTGTTGAAACTCTAATTAGAAGGGGAACCAGGATTTGTACTGTGGCAGTTTGAGCCCAGTCATAACTGACGTTGTAAACACTACTTCCCTTCTGCACACAGCATGTTTCTGTGTTATTTTAGGCCGCTTGGAGACTATTGACAGTTGCTAACAGCTTTTAATGCTCAGGGAGGAAAGATCATCTGCATTTTAGATGCCTTGCAAATCTAAAAGGCAATACATCACAAATAAGCAAAAAGAGAAAGAGGAGAAAAAGGAAGGGAGCAGCACACAGATAATCTGGTAGTGATAACTGATCCAGGTAATGAAAGATTTGAATGATTGTGCCTATTCTGACCTGATCATGCAGTGAAAGTTCTCTACCTCATTTACTTTCCTCTCTAGGCCTGTCTAAAGATGCCTTAACCTGCTGACCAAAGCTATAGAAAGGCAGTTTGGTTGTCTGGGCTTTAGGTTGGTTGGTTGGTGGGGTTTGGTCAGTTTTTTTGTTTGGATTGTTCTTCTGGGTTGTTTGTGTGTGTGTGTTTGTAAGTATTCAGTGTTTCTGTGCTTGTGAAGTTTCTACCCACTTGCCTGGGATACAATAGCAGGCATAATGAAGATGTTAAATGGTGTTAATGATGCTTATTGCCTGTCCAGAACAAGCAGTTCAGAGGAGCTGCAAGACAGTTTGGAGTGGGGAAATACAGCTGTGTTGCTTGCTGCTGCTCAGAGCCTGTTTTCTGCCAGAAAAGCTCTGTAGGGAGAATTCAGCTGCTAAACCTGACATCTCTGAGAGTCAGGTCTTGAGCTTGCAGGATGGTTCTTATCTATGCTCAAATATTGCCACCAGGAAGCTGTTACCAGAGTAACTCTTCTCTAGTAACTTCTGGTACTGGAAGAAAGAATCACAGGATGTACTTCTAGCTCAAAAAGGAGGAATTTGAACCTGCAACACATGTGCAATCATGTTGGGTGTTCTGTATTATATAAATGATGGTGAAGTTTTGCATAACAAAGGGAGTACCCAAACTATTCAGTTTATTTGTATTTTTAATTCATAACAAGTATCTTTAGCCTCCAAGAACTGGACTTCATTACTGAATTGAGCAGTAACTTTAGCTGCCTATAGGGATGCTGGAGAGGGACTCTTCATTAGAGACTGTAGTGACAGGACAAGGGGTAACGGGTTAAAACTTAAACAGGGGAAGTTTAGGTTGGATATAAGAAGGAAATTCTTTCCTGTTAGGGTGATGAGGCACTGGAATAGGTTGCCCAGGGAGGTTGTGAATGCTCTATCCCTGGCAGTGTTCAAGACCAGGTTGGACGAGGCCTTGGGTGATATGATTTAGCGTAAGGTGTCCCTGCCCATGGCAGAGGGGTTGGAACTAAATGATCTTAAGGTCCTTTCCAACCCTAACTATTCTATGATTCTATGATTCTAAATAAATTTTAACCTTACATTAGTTTGCCGCATCCACACTTAGCTTAGCCTTTATTCCTCACATAGAAGTCAATTCAGAGCCAAAGGAATTAAGAGCAGTAATAAAGAATCTTTAGCAGAGGGGGGCAAATATGGATATGCAGCTGTGAAGATGACAGGGCTGGTGGAGCTAGCTGTTAAACTGAGGACAAGTGAAAGAAAAATCTTATAGATATGAGAATTCTTGTGTATACCAATTATATGAATTCTCAGTAGGAGAAATATCAGTACAGAGTGTAGCAGTGCCATAAGGTCTGTGCTGACTCTGTTTGACTGAGAGTTTATAGAAGGTTAGCATATCTGATCCTTTTTTTGCTGTTGTTTCTCCTCTCCCCACAGTCTAATAAAGAACGTGGATAATGTCTCTGAGAAAAATGATGTAAAAAGCTGCCCCCGGGACTCCGGATATGACAGCCTATCCAACAAGCTAAGCATATTGGACAAGCTCCTCCATACTCACCCTGTGTGGCTGCAGCTTGGCCTGAATGATGCTGAAGCCGTGGAAATTCTGCAGGCCCAACCTCCTGGGGTAAGCAATTTATTTGGTGCAAGTGTTAAAAACCAACCAACCAGGAAACCAAACAAACTAACCAACCAACATCACACCCCCATTTCTTCTGTGCTTTGGACAATCCAAGTGAAGACTTCTTTGACAGCTGGACCATTTGCTTGGGGTGTTGCACTGGGAGACAAGTTTGGGGTCCTCTGGAGCTGAGAACTAGACTGCTGAAACTAAAGCTCTAGAGCTGGTCTGTGTTAACCAGGGTTCTATGTAACAGATGTATTTCCCCCATAACAAGAAAGCAATAGATAAATGGCAAATGACAGCATTTTATCCTATGCTGGTGTCTGCATGAAAGTTGCTATGATGGAAATCGGGCCCTCTCTGCTTGGATGAGGCTGATGGCATGATGCCAAGTGCAAGGTCCTGTACCTGGGTCAGAGCAGTCCCAGGCACAGCTACAGGTTGGGCAGAGAAGAGATTCAGAGCAGCCCAAGGAGAAGGACTTGGGGGTGTTGGTTGATGAGAAAATGAACATGAGCCAGCTTCAGTGTGCGCTCGCAGCCCAGAAAGCAACCGTATCCTGGGCTGCATCAAAAGGAGCGTGACCAGCAGGTCGAAGGAGGTGATCCTGCCCCTCTGCTCTGCTCTTGTGAGACCTCACCTGGAGCATTGTGTGCAGTTCTGGTATCCTCAACATAAAAAGGACATGGAACTGTTGGAACAAGTCCAGAGAAGGGCCACGAGGATGATCAGGGGACTGGAGCACCTCCTGTATGAAGATAAGCTGAGGAAGTTGGGGCTGTTCAGCCTGGAGAAGAGAAGCTGCGTGGAGACCTCATGGTAGCCTTCCAGTATCTGAAGGGGGCTATGGGGATGCTGGGGAGGGTCTCTTCATTAGGGACTGTAGTGACAGGACAAGGGGTAACGGGTTAAAACTTAAAACAGGGGAAGTTTAGATTGGATATAAGGCAGAAACTCTTTACTGTAAGGGTGGTGAGGCACTGGAATGGGTTGCCCAGGGAAGTTGTGAATGCTCCATCCCTGGCAGTGTTCAAGGCCAGGTTGGACAAAGCCTTGGGTGACATGGTTTAGTGTGAGGTGTCCCTGCCCGTGGCAGAGGGGTTGGAACTGGATGATCTTAAGGTTCTTTCCAACTCCAACTATTCTATGATTCTAATGCAGAAGGATTGCATGAATGGGCTGGTGGGACACAGGGGCACTCGACCATCAGTCTCTTCCAGACTTTGCAGCTTGACTCAAGGCTTGGGGTTTGCTGTGTGTTAAACTGGAGAGCTCAGAGAAGGGCATAATGGACTTGGTGTCACGTGTCTGTGTCATACCAAGGTGAGATGTTTTCCTAAATGTTCTGCTGCCATTTTACACCAAGCTGTTGGATGGTTACTGATACAGTAATGACTGAGTAATATTCTGAGAGTCAAAGATCATTAAGTTGCTCTGGCTCCTTTTGTCTATAATCTGTCTCTATTAAGGCATCTGTGATGAAGGTAAAACTGTCTTTTTGCTCACTCCACAACAGATATTTCTGGTTAGGAAATCTGCAAGATTGCAGAAGAAAGTCATCTCTCTGCGTCTGTCCAGTGACTGTGGGCCTTGCCTAAAAGAATTTGCAATAAAAGAAAGCACATACAGTAAGTTGAGTTACAGACTTTTCAGGTGTTTGTCACCCTGTATGAGCTGGGACATCCCGCATTGGTGAAACCCACAGCAGAAAGTACCCAAAGTAATGCAAATAGTGAAGAGACTGCCTACAGTGCTCTCTGAGTAGGGCTCTGTAAGTGGGAAGATAAACAGAAATGCATAAGTCTGTGCTAGACAGAACTGGAATATTTTCTATGGATGTTGCTGAATCCAGGATTCATTGATGATTATAGGCAGTTATCTTCTGCAGATTTTTTTATTATCTTCTGGAGAAATGCAGTCTATAATTCTGTGTGCTGTCAATGAAATGTCCTTACATTTCCTTGTATTCAGGGGACTGTTCTTGGATACATTTCTGGCCTGAGCGCTCTCTTGACTATGAATTTGGATTTTGGGTTTGGGGTGGTTTTGGGGGGGGTTATTATACATAATAAATAGATGGATTACCCTTTCAGAACTGTTTCTGATGTGAGATGAATATTTTTTCTTTTATAATTCCAAGTATATTTGTTCCCTCTTTGGAATAAAATGAGCAAACAGAGATAATTTTAGTTGAGTTTTTCCTTTTTACCTCTCCTTTCCCAGCCCCCCAGGAACAAAAAGTTAATTCTGTGTGTCTGGTTTTGGTTCCAGTTACAAACAAGGCATAGGAAAGAGAACAGAAAGCTATAAATGACGGTTGATCTAAGTGTGCTTTAAGGCTGTGTTTGTAGGCTTTACATACTGATGAATTCCATCTCTTCCGTCTAGAAAATAAAATAGTAAAATCTTCTTTCATGAATGAAATTTTACCACAAGGGGGAAGTATGTACTGGTGGTTTTACTCACCAGCCGTAGCTGAGATTTTAGTTACAGTCTGGGATCTGAACATTCATTTTCTCTTGGCCCACCCCCCAGACCACCTGCATGCTTATTGTCTGTATTGTTGCTGTCTCTCTTAAAGAAATCCCTTTTTCTGGGCACATAAATGACTAGGTCGACCTGTCCTTTAGTGTAAAGGTTGGAGAAAAGATCAGTACCTGACTTTTCCCCTGGTTCATATGCAGACTCTACAGTCAGTAGCACTGGAAGCTTGGCATAGGCGAGCTGGCCTTACAGCATAGAGTACTGACAAAGTTACGCCTTTGCTGTTCACCAAGCGGCATTGCTGAGGTAACCAAAACTGCTGTGTAGCTTCTGGCATTCCCCACTAAGTCTGGGGCTCTGCCTTGTTTGAGCCCAGATGCCTGAAGTGTCTGCTGCAGTGGAAATGCTCTCCTTGGAGATGAATTTAAAAAGCAGCAACAGTGTGAGCCGCACCAGTGGGAGATTCGCCCCATCATCTGTCTCTTCTCTAACACGAGATTAGGCTGAAGCAATCGCAGGCTTCACGTTCCCCCACATTCATGTATGTCAGGAACCTGTCTCATGCTACTGTTACATTCCTTATATGCTCTTCCGTCTGTTCTGGTCTCAGTCATGTCCAGAGGTGAAAGCTCTAGAGTGTTTCAGTCTAGGAGCTGCTTCTGCTTGATCTTTGTAGTCACTGGGTGAGACTTGCTACTGAAATTAAAGAGAGCTTAGAGTAGGTGAGGTGGGAATCACTTCTGTGCCATTTGTGCTGTGAACAAGTATTCATATCAGCAGGAAACAATACTGTGGAGTGGGAAAAAAAATGAAAGGCATTGCTCCTGTCTTCCGTCTTCCTTGTGCAAGGTGATGGCACAAAGCAGAATTGTCAGAGTGGTTTTTAAAGAGTTCTCAGGTTAAATGGTTTTCCTGAAGTGAATGAAAATTTATCATCTCCCATTAGATGCTAATACATCTGGGGAGAAGACTAGTGGGTAGAATGTAATGCAAGAGGAGGAAATAAGAGATTTTATATTAGGTATATTAGTACACTGGGCAAAAAAAGCCTCAGTTATTAATTCATAAAATCCCAGAGTGGTTTGGGTTGGAAAAGACCTTAAAGCTCATCCAGTTCCAGCCCCCTGCTATGGGCAGGGACACCTTCCACTAGAGCAAGTTGCTCAAGGCCCTGAATTTATTGACTATTTGTCTATTAGCAAATTACTGATTTATTGTCTATTAGCAAACCATTGTGCAATTGTCATCACACTTGATCTGTTTCTCAGGAATTGGACCACATATTTGGAATACAAAAGCAAACCCACTACCAATATTATCAGTATATTCTTTAAAATGCCTTTAGCAGAGAAAGGTATTCTTCCACAAAATTGTTTTCTCTTAGCCAGACAGAAATGAGTGTGATGGTGCAAACTTACTAATTTTATGGTAAAATCTGAGATGTATTTTAATAAGCTTTTTCTAAAAGATGCTTGATATAGGTGTGTGATTCTTCCCTCTTGTGACTTTTTTCACAGCGTTTTCCTTGGAGGGGTCTGGAATAAGTTTTGCTGATTTATTCAGGCTGATTGCTTTCTACTGTATTAGCAGGTAAGATGGTCTCATGTTCTGAGGCACATGAGCTAAGCTCTCTTGAAAACAAAACAAAAAAAACCCCAACCAACCAACAAAAGAGCAAGTCTCTGTCTTACTGATTATTGGAAGGCTGGTGTTGTGTTACCCACCATGTTACTGTGAGGTGTCGCCCCAAGCTGGACTTCAGCTGATGTCTTGTAATGCAGTTAACTGCTCTGTAACTATCATGCAATGTCCATTTCTTGCAATTTCTAGTAAAAAGCTTTTTGGACCTTAGTGGGAAAATGTCAGGTCACACTGTAGAATATGATGACTGAGATGCGAATTCAGATTGTGAACCACAGAAATGGTCTCATCAGTTTTCCAGTTTGTGACTGTCCAGCTGTTTTCCAGGAAGTATGCAGAGAAAAAATAGCTGGTGTTTAAGCTGATTTCAGTTTGCCTTTAGTTTTCCAATGAAAACTTCCAGATGATGGTAACTTTCAGAGCAGCCCTGCAGAGAAGGACTTGGTTGTGTTGGTCAATGAGAAAATGAACATGAGCCGGCTTCAGTGTGCGCTCACAGCCCAGAAAGCAACCGTATCCTGGGCTGCATCAAAAGGAGCTTGACCAGCAGGTCGAAGGAGGTGATCCTGCCCCTCTACTCCGCTCTTGTGAGACCTCACCTGGAGCATTGTGTGCAGTTCTGGTGTCCTCAACATAAAAAGGACATGGAACTGTTGGAACAAGTCCAGAGGAGACCACAAGGATGATCAGGGGACTGGAGCACCTCCTGTATGGAGACAGGCTGAGGAAGTTGGGGCTGTTCAGCCTGGGGAAGAGAAGGCTGCATGGAGACTTCATAGCAGTCTTCCAGTATCTGAAGGGGGGCTATAGGGGTGCTGGGGATGGACTGTTCATTGGGGACTGTAGTGACAGGACAAGGGGTAATGGGTTAAAACTTAAACGGGACGTTTAGGTTGGATATAAGGAAGAAATTCTTTCCTGTGAGGGTGGTGAGGCACTGGAATGGGTTGCCCAGGGAGGTTGTGAATGCTCCATCCCTGGTGATGTTCAAGACCAGGTTGTACAGAGCCTTGGGTGACATGGTTTAGTGTGAGGTGTCCCTGCCCATGGCAGGGGATTGGAACCGGATGATCTTAAGGTCCTTTCCAACCCTAACTATTCTGTGATTCTGTGATGCCCAAGCCTTACATTCATCCACAGGCAGGACATGAACAGATGCAGAGTGCACATCTGTACGTTTTCTGAAGGATGGGGCGAGAGACGACTTTGGTTGTCTCAGTCCTGTCGCTGCAATAAGGTTGCCAATTAGATCTGACAGTGGTGATTTCTTGTATGGGAAACACTCACTGGGGATGTGCTTAGGTTGCTGTGCTTACTGCGTTTGTTTATGGTGGACAAGCATCTAGACCCCCTTTGTTAGTGGTCTTCATTTTGCTGAGCTGTACATGCATATGATGAAAGCAGCATTTCTACCACATAAGTAATTGGTCATCAGTTGGATGAGAAATGAGCTGAAACTGCATTTAAAAGCAGTGTAATAATGAGAGATTCTTTATCTTGTCACCCTTTTAGTTCTGTGCACTAGCCAGGCTCTGGTAAATTCCTCTTAAGTGCCTACAGGCAGCATGCAGCAAATGTAGATTTCTTTGCATTAGTTTGTTCTTTTTCTTTCACTGAAGGCTCCAACTTGCTTTACGTTTGCTAAAATGTAAAGCACAGTAGCTTGTTGCCTTACACATGAGTCTCTCCATTCAAAGTGGCTTTAACTTTCTTAATGGTATTTCAGTCAGCCAAGTGTGAATTCAGTGTCCTGATACAGCCAGGCCTCCCATTCAGGAAGCACATACAAAACTGTTCATCTGTGTATTGTTCTGTTCCTTTTCTTGTAGTTGTTTGGAAAGGGAAAAAGAGTGGCCATCACAACTTAGTTTTCCTAATGCATCATTGTAAACACGACTTTAGCTGCAAACCTATCCACAGATACCACTAATAAATACAACTTCAGCTGCAAATCCCTCCAGAGACTTCAATAAATGAGGCTCATTCTTTGACTGTGGGTATGCTTCCCGAAGCAAATGCTTATTTCGCCATTCAGTGGAGAAGCATCCTAAATGTTTCCATTTGCTTAATGTTTATTAAATGGCACCATCTACCCAGCATCCTTGTCCTCTTCAGGCAGCAGTCTAGGATTGTTGGGAGTGCAACAGGAAAATGTAGGGCTTCTTTAGGGAAGCAGATAGGTAGCTGTTGTGAGAGAGTACCATTTGGGTACACCACAGCAAAACCAAGAGGATTTCCTAAACCCAGAGGGAATTTCTTGCAGTAGGTACCCCGTCAGTCTGTATGAGGAGTCAAGGGTTACCTGTCTTCCTATTATGTCCATGATGATGCGCTAGACTCTAGGTTACCTGTGGTATGGCATTGAACATGTCTTTCCAAATACTTTTTAGCTAATGCATCAGTATCATGCATGTGCTTCATTTGAATTTGAATGGTATTCTGAGATCCTGTTTTTTCAACATGTTGGCATACACCATAAAGGATATTTGTGATAAAAACTTGCTGTCTGTGCTATAACAGATGGTTGGCTTGTTCACAGCCTAAAAAACCCCATAATAATTTCTGCTGACACCAGTTGTTTGTAGGTTTCCCATGCTCTATTTGTTGTCATTTACTCTTAATTACATAGGTACTTCTACTAGAGATTTTGCGGTTTAGCATGCACTGTTGTTTGAGAGTGTATCAGTACCAACTGGGCAGGCAAGAGGTATAGTAGCTGATAGCAGTACTTGAACAATGTACATATAATTAGTATTTTTGTCCCTTAAAATCTGTCTAAAAGCTTTTTTACATTGGACTTAGCACGTTTTTCATTCATTCATCCATCTCCCCTTGTAAACATCCATTGAACTTTTAGTGTGCAGTGAAGAGAAACCACATACGAGAACAAATGACAGATTTCCTTAAATGAAGCATGTTTTCAGCCTAGGACACAGTAGCACCAAGACATCCTGACTTAGAAATGTTTAGGGAAGCTGCCCAAGTACTCATTTAAATTTTTATTCTGAGAACTGGAATTCAACTCTGAGGGCAATCAACAGTATATTCAGAGAATAAGAAGTTTCACTGAAGGAGTAAGGGCAGATAACACTTTTGCATCTCACTGGTATGCTTGTAAAAGACCAGGTGTATAAGCTTCTTCTGTAGTGGAGGACAATATTGGATGGCTCTGTGGAAATGAGCCTAAAGAGATTCCTGGAGACTTGGGACTTGACTGTCATTTACATTTCCAATGTAAAGGAGCCCTGCGGTTGGTAATGTTTTCACTGTGTGCTGTGTGTTTTAAGGCCCTTGCTACCTGCCACAGCTCAAAAAGAAAATGTGAATCAGAGCTCAGCCACTGCCAGTGTTGAAAACAAGTGCTTGTGAAACTATGGATGTTATTGTCAAAGCCATAATTGTTTTTCTCTTTGACAACAGGGATGTCCTTCCATTCACCCTGAAGTTGCCTCATGCTATTGCTGCAGCAAAGACAGAAGCTGAACTTGAAGAGATTGCTCAGCTTGGACTGAGTAAGTAGATCTCTGCATAGATGTCATTCCTTGTGGCAGTGCTGTAAGCTTGAAGAAATAGTCTGTATCAGTAAGTAGTTCATATTGGTCAGCTACAAGCTTCTCTTATTGGGAAGCCAGATCTTGTACTTGCCAAATGGTGACCTTAGTGGTCTTTTTTCCTTCTGTGCCTTCTGTGATATTTTTGTTGTTGCCCTTTCCTTCCTTTCTCCTCTCCTCCCTGGGCAACCCTTGGGCAAAGCAAGTCTTACAATCCCTAGTCGGAGATCTGATGTAGCTTCTCCTCTGAGAGCAAATGTTTGCTGCAGGCTTACATCAAGCATAGCTTGATGATTTGCTGGAATTGCCAGGAGAGTGTAGGAACTGAGGTTCACCATTAAAACCTCGGTTCACATTGACATGTGATCTTAGACTGGTGATTTTTGAGATGGGAGGCTCAATGTAGTAGCATATTCATAAAAGGAGGAGTGTGTACATAGAAGGAGTACATTGGTTTGGTGACGCTTTTAAAATAACAAAAGAAAATGCAAGGACGTGTCCTTGCATCACTTGACTGCTACAACCACATACAGGCTCATTGTAAAACATACCTTGAGCTGGCAGAAGATGCAAGGCCTGGTGGGATTGGAAACATGGGCTCCACCCAGATGAATCCTTGAGCAACTCTGCAAAGTGCTGAATGACCGCACTTCCTTTTGCAGGGAGGGAGGGTTGACTGTCAGCAGACTTTGTCCCAGCAGATTTTTGAATCGTCTTAGATATAGAAACAGAACCTTATTAGATCAGAGTGGCAGAACTGTTGGTGGGACTTTGCAGCAGTCATACACAGGGAAGTACTACACTGCTTTATATTTTGCTTTGCTGGAGTAGCAATGCAGTTGAGGGATTTGCTTTAGAGAGGAGGCAAATTACTTCTGCACTGCTTTTCTGCAAGTTTAGCTGATTACATGAAAGTACAGATTTTATGGGAATAGAGGCAGTCATGGAACTGTGGATGAGGTGAATGGTTGGGGAGAAAGAAAAATATGATCAGGATACAGTAAGATCTGATTGGGAAGACAGTCTCCCAGTGAAAGCTGGAAGCCTTAAAGTACCATTAAGTGAGTTTCTCTATAGGAGATCATAACGGTGGCGTTGAGTGAGCTCTTCAGACTATCTGCACTGTCTTTGTCCTTGGTACCCAGGAGCACCATGGCCTATTTGCTGCAGGGTTAGTCTTGTTCTTGAACAGCCTCTCTGTGCATTGTGTGTTTTGTTTAAGCTAATATGTCTGAAAGCTGAGGAGGAGACTGATGATTCCGTGTCTGTGTGGTAGATAATTGATCCCAAATACACCAACTGTATGTGAGATTAAGATCACAGTTTCTGTGAGATTTTGATGAAATTTTAGATGTTCATGTGCAAAGGAGCACACCAGGAAGTCAGCCCTTCAATCCTGCAGACCCAGGAGATGCATAAAAACTCTCAAGGGCCTTCCTGTAAGTGTGAGCTTTCCTTAAGCAACATATAGGCACAAAACAACCTGGTTTGAACATGAAGAGTTGGAGCTCCTGTCTGAACTCTCTTACACTGTATGCTCAGAGGGAGAGCTGCACAAGGGAGGTCAACAGCATGTGGGCCCAGCAAACTACATCAGAAAGAACATTGCCAACCTGTGATGTTTCATGTGATGAACATAAGATTCCCTCTCTGACTCGTGTTTTACCTGCAGCGGCGCTTGCATGACGCATGTTTTCAACAGCCCATGTGCCAGGCACACTCGCCCGTCTGCTGAGGGATTTGCAGGCAGGATGTAAAGTCATGGAGCTGGAAAAAAACAGCAGCATTGCATGACTATGTAAAGAAATATGTATTTGCCTACATAAGTTCTCTGGCAGTGGCCTATCACCATGGGCCATTTCCTGTTTTCTGCCCAGTAGGCAAGACACAGCTGTTGGGCATGAATCCTGTTGTAGAGTGCTTGGCATTCATGCATTCAGTTTCAAGTTGGTGAGAATTACTGTGTTACAGTCTCCATTCCTTTCTTTGAATTCTCAGCTTATTTTTAAACTTAGTTGAGTGGGTTGATTTGAAGCTATGCATTGGTCATGATATTTATAGATGAGTGAGAACAGCCCCAGGAGGGCAGCATGCAGTTATGCCTGGTGGGGCTTTGAGAGGTTCACTTGGAATTAATTTTTTTCCCCCCTTGAATCAATAAAAGCGTGTCAGAATGTCTGGAGATGGGTGATGTTGAGCTGAATGTTCTGAAAGCCATCTGCATGCTGGTTTGCATTCTTACGTTAATGCAATGATGATTTTCAGAATTTTGGAGCTCCCTGGCTAACAGCAACCCCCTGGATCCTACACCTCCCTGCAGGCCTGTGCCTTTGGACAGTGCTTGTAAAGGCTCGCGTCAGCTCTGCCTTATAAATGGAGTGCATTCTATACGAACCCGAACGCCTTCAGAGCTGGAGTGCAGCCAGACCAACGGAGCACTGTGTTTCATTAATCCCCTCTTCTTAAAAGTGCACAGCCAGGATGTCAGTGGAAGTCTGAAGAGGCAGAGCCCAAGAACTCAAGACGTGAATGGCACCGTGAGGCCTCGCTCTCCCCCACCCCGGCCGCCACCTCCTTCTATTAATAGCATCCTCACGAGTCCGCAGCTTTCCAGGACTATAAAGCAGGCAAGCATGCCAGAAACGGTCAACCATAAGAAAGAGAGAGGCTTGGATTTACTGCAGAGTAAACCAACCCCTATTCCACCGCCTCGGCTGAAGAAGCAGGCTGTCTGCTCAGAGGTAGGCAGCTCAAAGTCTGCAGCAGTGATTCAGCCTGGCTGTGGCTCAGTGCCTGTGCCTGAAGCTGCTGGCATCTCAGGTGAAACCCTGCCTGAGCTGTCTCCAGCAGCTGCCCCGAAGACAGTAGCTACCAGCTCTGAGTCACACATCCCATGGAATGGAGGCAGGCAGAGGCTGAGCGACATGAGCATTTCCACCTCGTCGTCTGACTCGCTGGACTTCGATCGGAGCATGCCGCTGTTCGGCTATGATGGGGACACAAACAGCAGCCTGGAGGATTTTGAGGGGGAAAGTGACCAAGAGAGCATGGCACCCCCTCTGAAGCCCAAGAAAAAAAGAAACAGTTCGTTTGTTCTCCCCAAGATTGTGAAATCTCAGCTACGGAAAGTCAGTGGAGTTTTCAGTTCCTTCATGACCCCTGAAAAGAGGATGATTAAGAAAATTGCGGAGATGTCCCAGGACAAACGCACTTATTTTGGATGCCTGGTGCAGGACTATGTCAGCTTTCTGCAGGAAAACAAGGAGTGCCATGTTTCAAGCACCGATATGCTGCAAACAATTCGGCAGTTCATGACCCAAGTCAAGAACTATTTGTCCCAAAGTTCCGAACTTGATCCCCCAATCGAATCGCTGATTCCAGAGGACCAAATAGGTAAGAAACACTATCATGTGTTTTAGGAGAAGGTGAAAATGTGTAATCTGTTTTTAGAATCATAGTCTTTGTGCCTGTTTTGAAAGGTGGGGTTGACTTTGCTAGCAGAGTTCAAGCCACGGAGTTTTGAGTCTTAAAATAAAACAACCCTCAAACTCCCCTGCCCCCAAATCACCCCAGCAACTCAAAACTTTGCTACAAAAGTGCTCATAAAAAGTTATCTTTACGATACTTTCAGTGTGCACTTTTTACCTGTGATTATTTTTTTTATATATATATTTTTTTTTTAGCTGCTGTACCGTTTACAGAATCCTTTGTTTACTGGCACACATGTATTTTTTCCTGAATTGGGCTGAAATAGTTCTGGATCCTTGGACCAAAACTGTGCCAGTTTTAAGCGTGTGGATTAGCCACAGAACTAAGATTTGTTCAAAACCAGTGACAAGGAGCAGAGAGGCATTTCATAGCAACTTACTTTTGAAATAAATCTTATTCTTCAACCAGTCTCATTCACTCCTAACAAAGCTGCACTGTCAGTACACTTGAAGCTAAATAGAAAGTTATAAGTTTAAAAAATCCACATGTGTGCAAGAGAAGGGGCTGCTAATAAGAGTTTTTCTGTGTTTGTGTTCAAATATACATGTTTATAAATGGTTGCTGCTGAGATACATGTTTGAATACATGTTTTAACAACAGAGAGACTTGTGTATCCACAAAAGTGAAATCATTGTTGCTGTATAAAATCTCACTCCCCCTCTATCTTGCTGAGTCTGAGCAGTATTTGTCAAAGAGCATATAAGCCACATTTAGGAGGTAAACATCCCTCAGGGCAGAATACTTTCCTTGTGAGCTCACTTCAGTCCTAACTTGCTTGTTTTTCTCCTGCATCCCAGCGTCCCTGCAATTGGCCCAGTGCAAAATTGGAAGATAGTTCTTGCTCCGGGACTAGAGGATGATTTTATGTTGAGAGTTCTGCTTGTCCTTGACAGGCAGAAGGAAATATTCTCATGTAACCTCAACTTCATTTACACAAAGTCAAACAAAAGTAGCAAGCACTGTTAAAGCAAATATAACGCTTGGGAGAGTGTCCTTGAAATGTACACTCTTTCAGAGCCTGTAATGTTCTTGCTACAATAATAAAGAATGTTATGGGGGTGTTAAGGTGGAAGAAAAAGCAGCAAATTGAGCAGTGGTGTAGATGATTTTTTGCCTGGATTTCTGCAGAGAATTGGATATTTGACAAAGAAATACAGATCTAATTTGCTTGTTATTTTGTTAAGCTTGGTTTGACTTCAGCTTTTCATTGCCAGGGTGTGGTTAAATCTGACTGTGGGTCTCTGAAGACTGGCAAAAATGCTGTTTTGCTTTTAAATGTTTCAATAGTTTGGAATAGCATAAGGTATGAAATATAACTTAACTATGCTGGTTTTCTTTATTGACAGAAAATCTGCCTTTGGTCATGTGATTAAATGCAATTAATTTATAAAGTGGGATAGTTTAAACAAAGGAAGAACTTATTTTTGAATCATCTACTGCCTATGGCTTGAGCCTGCAAACAACCATAGTGGATCAGGAGCATCAGATGTTGCTGATCTAAGCAGATAACTATGTGACAGCAAGATTTAGTCATCTCTGTAGAGAACTTCTTATGATGTAGTCCTGCCTATTATCTGTGGTTTTGCTTGACTCTTTCAGTACATAATTGCAGCCCAAATTTTAACTCTGTGAGCACTCATCCTCTCTTCTCAGTTTACACTTTCGTGGTGCAGGTTTCTCAGTGTGTCAGTCCAGGGTTGGATGTGTGCTGCTGATGCTCCTTCTTCCTGTTCATCAAGTACTTCCCATGGCAGTGGTGAGTCAGTGTCTGAGCCCAGAGGTTCTGATCAGGCCTGGTGACTGCAAGGTTAGAGCAGGCATCAGCTTCACCCTGCGACTCACACCCACTGCTGCCACTGGTGGGTCACGGAGGGAGCCTGTAACACAAAGTGTTGGGGCCTCTCAGCTGCTCAGACCAGTCCTGTCCAGTGGAGAGGAGCTGGAACTGGTCCTTACCCCTTCTCCCATCCAGCAGAACTGCTGCTGCAACTGGTTGCCCATTCTGGGGGGGTCAGATTTCGCCTTACCCCCCACTATTGTCTCCTGAATTTCTGTACATGCTGCAGCAGCACCCTCCAAGGTTTAGTAAAGCTCTTGGTGTTTGGGACTTTCTCCCATGTCTGTGCAATGATCGATGATCATGTACCTTTTCATGTAGAACCTCGCAGACTCTTGCAACCAAAAGACTTCTGTGGAAGATCTTTTAAGTTTGCCAGACAGGGGGTATATTAAGTTGTTTAACTTCTGCCAAATCACTGGGAGAATGCATCAGTGTTTCTAATTATTCTTGACAGGTGTCTCCTACTCTTAGCGCTGTAGGCTGTTAACCCTTTTTGAAACAATGGGATTCCCAGTGTTGGGGCAGAGTCAAGACTAGGGCACATGGCTTTTTGTTGTTAAAGGGTGAAAGCAAAGTATTTTTTTTACCCACACCTGAATATGTATCCACAGAATAAAGACCTGGACTAGTCAGAAGGACCCTCATAGTCCACAGCTGCTTGAATAGCTAATTTTCAGGAGTTTTTGTGTTTGTCTTCCTGGCTGTAAATAGAAGGGAGTCCAGTTGACTGTCATCATTCCATCAGGTGGGATCTAATACCTGAACAGCTTCAGTCTCAATGCCTGAATCTGCACATAGCCCAAGAAATTACAGGTCTAAGTAATTTGGCAATAAGGTGTTAACTGATGTGTGGGAAGGTGCCTAAACAATATTGCCTGTTATTTGCTTTGGTATTTCTAATCCATAATGGATTTTTAGATGTTGAATGTTAGAAGAGGTTTGGAGAGAATGTGCTTGCCCCTTATTGGCAGCACATGCCTTATGGTAGGGGCTCGGGTCTGTATGGAGGAGTTGTGGGCAGATGGAGCTGGAGGAGAGTAACCCATTCCCTGTGGGAGCCTGTGGGAGCCACTGAGCCAGCCGCTCTGCTCTGAGGGAGGCTTTGCTGATTAGCACTTTTGCCTTTGTATTGCTCTTGCTGAGAGGCAATGTTTTACTGTTGTTATTAGGAGATTTTATTATGTTAGCTTTAGGCCTGTTTCCCACTTACGAAGATAACTGCCAAAGGACTGGTGATGCCTTTCTCCTGTCTGTGATATCACATGCAGATTTGTATGTGGACTCTCTGCTTTATAATCCAAATTTTTAATGAAAATACTAAATAGACTAAAGCCCAGGGCTGACCTCCGTGACACCTCTTTTCAAATATCTGTCTTGTTTGACAGTCAAACACTGATAATTGGGTTTCCCAGTGCAGTATTTTATGCACCCACCTTATTTATTATTATAAACAGTATTTCCTTTGTTTGCTTATGGGAAAGTTGCACTGAATAGGGTTATAAGGCTTTAAAAGGTTAAGATACAGCCTGCCCTCTGATCCCTTCTCTTAACTGATCCAGTTACCCTCTTAAAGGAATAAGAATGCTATGCCATTTCTCCTTGAAAAACTCAATGTTGGCTGGTTTTTAGCACTGTGTTACTTTTTAGGTGCTTGTACATTTGTTTTGGTGTCCTGTCCCCCTATCCTGTTGTACATCCTAGTATCTTTTCGTGTTGAATTGAGGCTGACCAATGTGACCATGAGCACTCCTCCTTTCAGTATGTAAGTGGGGGGATAGGGCAAATAAGAAGCGGTTCGTAAAAGCACTAAGCAGAAGCAGAGGTTTTGATTCTCCCTTTCCTGACCATCCCTTTGATTTCCTTTGTGACTTATTCCCTGCTCCTTTAGTACTACTTCTTCAAGAGAAGACGTGTTTGCCACATAGGCGTAGCATGAGTTTTAATTAACCCACACATGATTAAAGCAAAGAAAACCTAGCACAGATATTTCTGTGCTTCATTTGTATGCTTTATTTAGCAAAAATGAAGGGAGGTTTACCCTAAGAGGCTTTTATTCCCTAGTTGCTTAGCTTCTGTTACTGCTGCCCATCCATCACCCACCTCAATCCACTGTTTTCAGGGTTGTGCAAATTATCAAAGAATGTGGGTTGTGTGAGGTTTTAACTTTTAAGTCTTGCTGCTTTGGAGGAGATGCCCTTCTCTGCATCATGTGCCACTGTAGACATCCACCCAGAATGGGACACTTGGCCATCCTGACATGAGCTATCTTAAAGTAGATTTATATCAGTCATGCCAATATATGAAAATGATAGATATTAGGAAAATCCAAAACAAAGGAAATGCAATGTAGTCAGGTGTCCTGCATGAATACACTGTGGTATTCCAAAGCCGTGCCCAAGCAATCTTACTTGCACAGTACTGTGCCTTTTTATGATTGTTCCCAGGCTTGCTCAGTCTCTTTTTTACTGAGCCCTTCTTTTACTAATGAGTGGTTTGGCCATTGTAGATGAGAAAGTGAGTTTGTAAATCCAGGGCTGGAATCTGAAAGGTAATCTCAGTGGTGCAACAGCAGTTGGTAACAGGTGAACTGTCAGCCTGGAGAAGGTGAGAGTGTGCCTGTGATTTCAGCCAGCGAGGGCTGTGAAGAGGCTGCATAAGGACACTGGCTATGACTCACGTGTCCTCTCTAGATGCAGACTTATGTGGTTAGCAGCAAAACAAAACAGCATGTCAGCACAGGATGCAGATGTGTTTCCACAAGTCACAACGAAACTAGCTGGCTGGCCTTTGCAATTCATTTATCAAAGCATTTCCAGTTCCCATTTTGAGGCTAGAGGCTAATTATAAAAATCATTTCAGGAACACTACATGGTGCTCAGCTGCAATGATATTCAATTAAAAATAAATCTGAAGAGTGCCTGTTTGGGAGTATTAAGCACTTTGTGCATGCTGAATTAAACAGGAATTTTAGTTGCTGATTTGGATGTGGGAAGTGTACAGAGATGTTAGTGCAAAGGATCAGTCCTCAATTCACAACTTGGATGCTGATTTAACTGGGAGACCATCCTATGCTCTTTTTTTTTTTTTTTGGTGGCAAGTTAAGCAGTGAAATCTGCTGCTGGCTGGGAATTGTTTTGTGGAATCACATCTGGAAACACCTTCCTCTGAACGGCAGTAATAGCAGTTCAGAAGAAAGGGTAAATAATTGTATGATCTAATTCCAGACGTGCTTATTGGTGTCTTGTGACACTGAATATTGGTCTAAGATCCAGATTGCAAGAAATGCTGTCCTTACAGGTTTTAATTATAGTATAAATATTTACACAGGTTTTATATTAATTAGGGTATGTATGGGTGTTGTTACTGACAGTAAAAAAACAAAAGAAGTCCAGTCCTTATCAATCTTGCTCTGTTGCTGGCCTTGTCAGCTTACTAGAATCTGCAGTTTTTTGAGGCAGAACTCTGGTCCTTGTGTCTGTGCCAAGAATTCATAAGGGAGAAGAAAAGGTTTTGGTTTTGGTTTTTTGGTTGGTTGGTTTGGTTTGTTGTTTTTCTTCTTTTTTCTTAAACAGCAGCAAACAAACCCCCAAACGCTGTCATAGCTTCATATCTCAGTCACTTCCTTGTTTGCTGGGTAGTTTTGTGCAAACATGCTGCATTAAAATTACAGTGCTCTCAGTCTACCCTTACCAAGCCAAGGCAGTTTGTATCTCTTTGGAGTCAGGGCCAAATGTCATTTATTTCGCTTGTCTCTTGCTAGCTGTGATACAGTCGCTGAACAGTACTGAAGGATGCTTTGAGAAATATCCCATCCTATTTTTATTTACCCGATCATGTTAACAGCACAGAAACTATGAAGAACAGCCTTCAGCTGTAAGTTCTTGGGCCCTGTGCACAGCTTTGAGCACAGCTGTATGAGTTACCTGCTCTCTTCCTCTGTGCTCCTTCAAATCTATTGAAGTTCCCAGAGAAAATGTGGAATGTGATCAAGTAAAATTTCAAGGCAATTTCCAGGCACTGCTTTTGGAGCCTATGATGAATTGCAAATATGAAAGAACTCCTCTCGCAGCCATAAAAATCCGTGTGATTCATCTGCATGAGAAACTGGGAGTGGCACTAACTTACCCTAGGGTGTCACAGTTTAAGCCCAGCTCAGTCCCCCTCTTCTTCCCCCCTGCTCCCCAGAGGGGTGGGGAGGAGAATGGAAAGAGTGTAAACCCCACGGGTTGAGATAAGAACAGTCCCGTAACTGAGGTATAATACAAAACCACTACTGCTACCACCAATAATAATAATGATAAGGGAAATAACAAGGGGAGAGAATATAAAACTAAAAGGAGAAAGGAAAAAACCCCTTAACAAACAAAACAAGAAACACAAGTGATGCCCAGTACAATTGCTCACCACCTGCCAACCAGTACCCAGCCCTACCCGAGCAGCGAAGTGGCTGCAGGTAACAGTCCTGGCCCCAGCCAAGGACTGGGTGTCTGTGGAAGTATTTTCCCTCCCAGCAGCACTCGGTTCCTGTAGCCTCTGGGGATCGACTGCTTCTGCAGCTCTTTCCATACTGATACTGCAGGCTCCAGCTGAACCAGCTCCATCCTGGAGCCTGTAGGGGGTCAGTCATGGAAGCGTACTGAATATTCACATCTCCCATCCCAGGCTAGGTGCTCTGTCATCAGACCAGGGGCTCTGAGGATCCTCTCTCAATTTATTGAGCCTCCTGTGACCAAATGTGATGGTGACCCAACTTTATTGAAGCAAAGGACAGCTGACACTAGCTATTCATATGCAGAACTTCCAGTGGAAGCCTGTGGGAGTTAAAATTTCATGGGGATAGAGAGCTCTCTCACTTCATGTAATGTTTGGCAGCACCAAATGCTTTAATTTTGACTTCAGTGAGAGCAGGCAGTTGAAATGCAAACTGCAGAGGTGTTTCATGGTTTTGTTATTTAAAAGACTGAACAGGCAGTAGAAATAAATGAAGTAGGCTGAATTGTTAAAAAAAAAAAGTGTCATCAGTGAGGCCAACCCCGAGCCAGGAAGTGCGTGTGCCTGCGAGCAATGCTGCAGGCTGCAATATCCATGGGGGAGATGCCTGCTGCCTTCTTAGTGGAAAAATATTTCCTCCCCATAGCTCTAGAGATGGCTTCGATGGTGGGGAGAGGCAGTTTCTGTCACTGCATAGAAGGGTGAAGCTTCTGCTTTCCTGACTGGGTCTGGAAGTGCTATCAGTGGCAACTGTCTGGCTCTAACATGTATCATAGGTAAGGATCAGTTGTTTGAAATGTTGCCACTTACATTAACTAGCAGCTCTGGTGTGGTGGGAGGCTGGATCCAGCCTTCATGCTGTGTGACAGGCCATCAGGAATATGTGTCAGACTGGTTATGCTTCTGGTGGCCATAGGGAAATCCAGAAAATCAGAGAGCAAATGCTGCTCCTCACAATCACTCTGTCTCCTTTCCAGCAGCTTTCTCCACTGTGAGAGAGCGCCCAAATGTGTTTAAAGCATCCTGGAATAAAGCCAACACAGCTTTTGCTGTTAAGAGTCTTGGGAGGGGGAATTAGCAAGAAGAGCTACAGAAGCCCCAGCACAATTGGGATAGAAGAGATGGGAACTCCCAATAGAGTTGGACATTTGGGAATTGCATGTCAGACAAACACAGAGTAAACACTACACATGAAACAAAGAAACCGTAAAAAGAGGAGTGTGTGAAGAGCTGGTTTGTATGGAAAAGAGGTGTGAAGACCCAAAAGGCAAAACAGCTGAACACAAAGATAAAATAAATGAAGGCATAAAGCAAAAGCAATGAAACTGGGGGTGGTGGGGGTGGTGGTGTAAAGCAAAAGCCTTAGAAATAGTCTGCAATTAAAAAAGAAGAGGGGTGAAGAGAGAGAAGACAGGTACTGTGGTCAAAGGCAAATACATCAGAACAGGCAGCAAACCTGGAAAGGGCGTGAGGTTTGACACAGTAATGAGTTGCCATTAGTAGCAGGAATGTCTGGTGCTGGCTTGTATAAACACACAATGTAGCAGCGACCCAGTCTCTCTTCATCCTTCTCTTGGTCCCTGTGCTCTCTTAGTGCATCTGCCTGCGCTAGGCTATGGTCCTGTCCCACTATCCAGGTGTTAGTGCACTGGCCAGGCTGAGTGGTCCCCAGTTTCCTTTATGCGGGAGGCAGTTTGCTGTGGTACAAATAAGTGATGTCAGCTAATTATCAATGTAAGCTATATTGACACACGCACACTGAGTGGGAGAAGAAATTAACTTACAAAGTCAAGGTTTGCAGAGAAAACTTTTAGCAAAGACCTTTCTCTGTTGATGTGGTCCATACTTTGAAAATGGAGAATGACTGATAAAGAGAAACTTAAGTAGAACAAGAATAAATAAAAAAATAACCCTAAGTTAGTGCTTACTGTGCCACGTGCACACTATTGCCAAACAAAGAACCTCAAACCTGATGACAAAGCTGTATATAAGCTTGCGTAATGAAATCCGAAGCTGGACAAACACAGCTTGGTTTTCATTTATAGTTTAAAGCCCATAATCTGTCCAACTTCATAAAGATCTTGATGAAACTGAGCCAAGTTTTGGGAGACCTTGGCTGAGTTATAGTTTCTGATGGAAACTATGCAAAAAGAATCGGCTTTCATGCCAAAGCAGACAAAGTTATGGTTTTAACTGTGTTTAAGTTTGGGAGTTGAAGTCTAAACTCAAAAGTAACATCGAACTCAAAGACTTCTGGGCAACAAAAGACAAAGTTAACTGGGGCTGCAGTGTGCCTTTTTTTTTTTCCTGGGTGTTTTTTTCTTGTTTGTTGTTTTTTGTTTGTTTGTTTTGTTTTGTTGGGGGGGGGTGTGTGTGTGTGTATTTTTGTGCCAGTCTGTGCTCTGTCTTTGTGGAGGCTTTTTGTATTTACCACATTGTCATAAATGAAAATTAAATACAGATTCTGTTCTGCCTTTTGTTTTCATCTTAACATCTGGAAACTCAGCTTGTATAATAAACAGGCCATAGCAAGTAGGTTTTGCTCTACAGTGTCTCTTTTGGGAATGGTTATATTAGTACTGGCTCTGCTCTAGAGTACATCAGCTGTTTTCTCATTGCAGATGTTGTCCTGGAGAAGGCCATGCATAAGTGCATTCTGAAGCCATTGAAGAGCCATATTGAAGCAATGTTGAAAGAGTTTCATACAGCAGATGGTTCTTGGAAACAGCTAAAGGAAAACCTGCAGTTGGTGCGGCAGAGGAATCCTCAGGAACTGGGTGTGTTTGTTCCAACACCAGACTTTGTGGACATTGAAAAGATTAAAGTCAAGTTCATGACCATGCAGAAAATGTATTCACCTGAAAAAAAAGTCATGCTGCTGCTGCGAGTTTGCAAATTGATTTACACTGTTATGGAGAATAACTCAGGTATGATGCTTCTCGTGGTTCAAGTTCACCAATATTCCAAACCTGGGGTCGTCTTTTGGTGGAAGAAATCACCTGATTCTGCAGATATGTCTCCTTATCCTGGAGCTCTTGTGGCACCTCCGTGCCCTTTTGAGAGGGATTCTTTCTCTCTGCTTCTTTCCTGGCCTGATGCACCTGGCAGCACATTTTACAAATTCAGTGAGAAGAGGAGGTGTGAGGCAGTTTAAAAAAAAAAAAACAGTTTTGTTTAACTGTAGGCTTCTGAAGTTGGCTGTCGTCCTGTGAGCCTGGAATTTGACACCAGTACTAAATTAGTATTTTTCTGGAAATTTTAACAGAGCTAACATCCCATAGTTAGCCATAGTTATTCTGTAAGTTGTACGCAACATGAAAACTAAAAGGCTCTATGTTAATAGGTGAAGGAAAGCAGCCTCTGATCCAGTACTTTTGGCTTGCTGTGCCTCTGAATGTCTTCATTTGGACACCTTCTTTCCTGGTTTTGGAACAGAAATAATTTCTATGTAGCAAGCATCCAAACCTGACCTTGAAACCTATATAATGGAATGGAACTACAGACTAGTCGAGACCTGCTGAGTACTCAGTGGCACAATTAAAATGCTGTGCCACATGGCATGAATTCATAGGTGCAGCCCTGTTGCCTGACATCTGACCATACGCTGCTGTGGCAGGTCAGGAGCTGAGGTGAAGCAATGCTGGTGGTTATGGAAGGTGTTTTTCCCTTAAGCAAGTATAAACTGCTTCAGGTGGTTGGCAGTTTTGTTCCTAAGTGGGCACTGGATTATGCAGCTGGGTCCAAGGCTGGTCAAGATGCCACCTTTCTTTTGAGATTGGAGATGAATGGTGAAAGCTTGTGGTTGAAGAACCCAGGGCTCTTTCGCAAGATTCAGGTCCAAGCACCTGCCCAGCTTGTTATTTCTGTGCAAAATCCTGTGGTTTAAAATGGATATAGGAATCCACATCATTTTACTTCATTGAGTAAGGTGATTCCAACATACAGAAGAAATGTGTTGCGAGGCTGCTGCCAGTTAACTGTTTCACTGCGGGGCTTGGGCTAAGATGTGGTAAATAGTTCTTAGGTTGTCTTGTCATATGAAGTTTAGAAAACATGGCATTGACCCAGCAGCTGTTTAAGTGTCTGACAGCCAGATAGTAATATAATACCTGGAGGATATGCCTTACCTCCTTAGCTACTATAACTTTAGATGTCAGCCCCTCAGTCATGTGGAGTTTCACCAAAGTTTAAGTTGGCTCCTGCTTTTCATGGTTTAAAGTGACCATCACACCAGTTACACAATGAACACAATTTGGACAGACCCAGAGATCCGGCCATGTATTTTCTAAACAGAAAGTTTAAATGCAGCAAAAGCGGTAGGAGTGAGACAGACCTAGGTACAGCACAGTCCCTATGTGCAGCTGTGTGCCACCATTGCTGATGGGGCTTCACTGGCTAGTTGTAAATTACATAAGGATTTGCTCACTGGTGTTTCTAACTATGCTCTGTCACAGAAATGAGCTGAGTTTTCATGTCAAATGTAATAGGCTTTTATATTCAGGCTTTTCTGCTGGGATTCAGACCTAGAAACTGGTATATGTGGCTGGATCCTTCCAGAAAGTGGATGTCATCCCTGCATGTGTTTAAAAAAAAAAAAAAAAAAGAAAAAAAGCCTATTCATCACACTTCTTAGCCAGTGACATCACACTTCTTAGCCAGTGACATCACACTTCTTAGCCAGTGACAGAAGTGCAGGTGGAGGTCAAATCAGACAGGCATGGCAGCCGCAGCCTTGTATGAGTTCACCAGTTGAGCTGACGCCAAGGTGAGCCCAGTCTTTAAATTCCCTTGCATGCCACAAGGTGTGCTTCATCAGATTTGTGCTAGTTAGAAGTACAAGATGAAGCTGGTGTTAGAGTCCTGTCCGGTGAGTGTCAAATGATGTTCTCTTTTCTGCACATCAGTAACAGGAGGCTCTAGAGTAATACAAACGTACTGGTCAATGAAGATGGCAAAGTAATACTTTCCTTTCAAACACTGAAAGAGGTAAAAGGTTATGGTTTGTCTGTCACTGTCTGTGTTCTCTTCAACCCAGGAAGGCTGTATGGAGCAGATGATTTCTTGCCTGTGTTGACATATGTACTAGCCCAGTGTGATATGCTGGAACTGGATACTGAAATTGAATATATGATGGAATTGCTGGATCCATCTCTGCTGCATGGAGAAGGTAATTGTTTATTTATATTTATTAGAATTGAGTGAAGGACTGGGGAAGGGGGAATTCTTCCTCATAGCACAGTTGCTGTTAACCTTGTTTGAGTAGAAATCCTTTCAAAGGGAGTCTAAAATAGAGGCATCATGACAGCAAGCAAACACATACACTGTGCAGGTGCCACACGTGGTTATCTTCTGTGCATGAAAATATCCTGAGAGTATTTATAGAGCCACAGCATGCAGTTAAACTTTGAGACAAGTAATGGGACTTGGTTTAAGTGCTTTGTAAAAATTTCTGGGGGAATTCTCTGCCCCTATGGGGAAAGTGCTTTTGAGAATATTGACCCCCTTAATGATTGCTTCTTCCCACTGTTTGCTTCTCACAAAGTATTTTTATGAGCCCTAGGAATATGTTTCCTAAGGCAGTCTTGAACGATGGCTGAAGTCCACTAGAGGCCAGGAAATCTCCCTTCTTTCTGTTTTCAAGGTGGTGTTTTTAACAAAGAGGCATTCTGCAAGTTCTTGGTAGGCCTCAGAATCTACCAGTTTATGAGGAAGTATAAAGGTTCTTATGACCAAGCTCATCTGTGAGTTTAAGTATATGTGTATGTTTCCCATTCCTGCTATCTCTTGGCTTGCTGAAATTGCTGTATCCTTTTACGTGTTTGTATGCACGAGAGAACTGTGCCAGGACTCCTCCAATTTGGCACTAGTCTGTTCCCTACTTTGTGTACAGAGCATCCTCTAGTGCATTGTTTGAGAATCTTAGGAAAATAGTTGAGATGGAAGCTGGAGATTATTAATGTGCTTGAAGGGCAGAAACATTTACTGGACTATTAAGTCATGTTGGTTTTAATGCAGCAAAAGAAGTCTTGTCTATTGGCTGGCCCTGTCTTTGGCGCCAGCTGAACTATACTGTGCAGTAGAAACTGTTTAGTGGTTTGGGGTTGTGCAGATCAAATGTAATATATTGTCCACTGTGTCTCATGGGTCTTGCATGTATTTTATATATTGAACTTGTTGCAGAACTAAAGGCCAGGAAGATACCACCAGTAATACAGAAAATACTATTGTGAGCATAGAATCCATGAAGAGATTGTGCTGCCTCTTAATTGGACACTCCCACTCAAATAGTTTACTTTAAGAAGAGTGAGAGAAACAAATAACAGCATGTTTGTTGTTTCTCCTGGTTGTTGAGGACTATTACCTCCTGTTGAGACTCCTTTTCCTTTGTGACCTGCAGCTTCTTTTGTACATGGGTAACTCTGTTGTGACTTTAATTTGTTCTCCATCATATAATAAAGGTGAAGTATGGAGGACTGTACATGTCACCTCCTGAACTAGTTGGACATTATGGGGAACACTAAAAAGGTGACAGGCACAGTCTTCCTTTTTTTTTAAAAAAGGGACACTCTTTAGAATACTTCCAAGGTACAAATAATACATTATTGTTGCTTTATTTCTCCTAAAGGTGGTTGCTTTTAACTTCCTGAACAGCAGTAGATTGTCTTACCTTGTTTAATTTCATCCCCACTTGAAGCTTGGGAAGAAAACAAACTAGTGTTTGGAAGTTTTTTTCTTGAAGAAAACTCATGTTTCAACTTTGTAACAATAGTGGGGAGTAAGCAGTGACACCACTCATTTAAGTAACCAGCTATCCCAGCGCTAGTGGACTCAGACACTATTGCACCACTTGATAATATGGAGCAGTCGCTGCATGTCTTAGCAGCTGAGAACATGCCATCCAGTATCTTGCAAGCCAGTGAGCTGGGATTTCTTACATATAAATGTTTTGGCAATAGAGCACAGGAACTTTGAGTAATGTATGTGTGGATGTATAAAGCTGTGCTTCTGACTGACCAGTCAGAACTAGCAGGGGTTTTGTGACCACTCTGAGAAGTTTTTCCCTTTCTGTCCTTCTCAGGAGGCTATTATTTGACAAGCGCTTATGGAGCACTTTCACTGATCAAGAACTTCCAGGAAGAACAAGCTGCCCAACTGCTAAGTTCAGAAGCCAGAGATACTCTCCGGCAATGGCACAAGAGGAGGACAACTAACAGGACGATACCTTCAGTTGATGATTTTCAGGTAGAGCTTAGGGCTGAATTAAAAACCAGGGAATGATTGTTTTGTTGGAAATCCCCATTTGAGAGGTATGAATCCTTTGGGGCTCCAAGTGGAGTGAAGCAGTACTGAGAATATGGCTGGCAAATTTTCTTAGGTTTTGAAGGCTTGGCACTTTATTATAATAGATCTTGATCATGAATGCCTGAAGAAAACACTAAATAATGAAGCTTTCCCACTCTCCCTTCTATTTAAGTCATGCAGAGTGAGACAAACTGAATCATATCTTAGATTCAGCTTCTTTGTATGTATTACTGTTAAAAAAGAACAAATCCAGATTTCCAGTGGTGTAAATCAGCACAACTTCCTAGTAGCTAATGGTGGCATACAGCAGGTAATAGAGAGGAAAGGTGGGAGAAAAGCTTGCCTACAGTTTTAAAGTTTAAGCAAGGAGCAGAGTTCTATACAGTGCATGTCTTCATGTTTGTGTTTGTTTTTTTTTTTCCTCTCTTCCATTTCTTACTGCCCTTTCAGAGTAGGGCAATAACTTCAACTGAAGAATAACAAAACAGTTGGGATTGCTTCATCTCTTAAAACCAGGCCTGCATGTCTTTCATTAGTATGCTGTTGACTGTCTGTTCAGATGCACCAGCTTGTGGACCAAAGCAAGGAGGATGTTGGAATCGAGAAGGATTTACTCTTTTGTGTTCAGTTGTTTACAGTTCATACCACAGGGCAAAACTGACGGATGCTAATGACAACCATCAATTAGATATGATGTAGTTAAAAGCTTGAGAAATGAAGGTGTGGGGTCATCATCAGATTATGAAGCCTTTCAGCTGAGGCTTATTCTGCTTTATCAGTGTCCATGCAAGCAACTACAGCACAACACTGAACAGGAATGAGGTGGGAGAAGAAGCAGTCTTCTGCAGTTTGCCTCTCTTAGGAAGAGGAGAACTGATTATCAGAAATTCCAGACTATGGCCAGTGCACAAAGCTAGTCCATCTTACTATGATCCATTTTATATTGTGCTTACAGGTAGTTAGGTGTCAGATTCAAGTAGCTTGAGTCTTTGCTCTTTCTAGCAAAACACTACACTTCTTCTGGCAAAACTCATCACCTTGTATTTGTGCTGGATAACTAAATGACAGAAGATTCTTTCAGCAGGATCTTGTATTTCATTTCATCTTCTCTTCCTCAGCAAATGAACTTCTGCCAAACTAACTCTGAACAACTGGATATGGGAAGATGCAGGGGGGCATGGGAAGAGCTGGCACCAAGTGTGTCCAGTGCTTCTCCTTCTTATGTCTCTTTAAAAGAGAGCCTTGAATCAGTAAGATCACACCACTTCCAGGTTATGCTTGGCACAAATTCAAGCATTTTGCTTACTGCTCAGGATGACAGTTTTCCATCTGCTTTCTCCACATACGGCAGTCCTGAAATGAAGCATGTGACACAACTTCAGCTCAACTTGTCTTCCCACTTTGCACCAGGATGTGATCACTGCATTTCTGTGATGCAGTCTCACAACCTTATCAGGTTTGGGGTGCTGGAAGGCCTTCATCCTCCCTCCCTCAAAAGGATGGAAAAGCAAAAAACCCCATATTTTGATGATGTTTAAATACAACTTTCTGACACTGCGTAAGTTTGATACTTGGAATATGAGTAACAGGCATTTTTGCAAACTTCATCCACTCTTCGATGCAGTCTTGTCCATCTAAAAGCACATGCATTTTAAAACCAGGTCTTCTGTGTGCTAGCTACATTAGAAATTAAAATTGTAGTGTGATTTGTCTTGTCTAGGCTTGATTTTTTTCATAATTTCTTCACACAGAGTAACAAAAACATATTACTTCTGTTCAGTCAGGTTCAGTCTCACTGGTATAAATGCTTTGGTGTTTGCCCACAGGCTATCAAAAAACCCCACAGAAACCAACTTTATTAAAGAGTAATCTTTGGAACTTAAGTCATATGAACACTCTTCTCAATCTTAGCTTTTAACAGCTTATTTTTAGGAAATGTGAATTTTTACCATTGTGATTTAGCATGCTTAATTTATTCAGCATACAAACACAGGTACCAGCTCAGTCAGTAAGCAGGTCTTTCTCACTGTCCTTTTTTCCACACCTTCTTTCATTTTACTGCTTTTTAATCTTTCATTGCAGTTAATCTCTTTTAAAGAAAAGCACGTGACAGAAGGATGCCTTGTTCATGTGTCCAAAAGGTGGTGGTTTTTTTTTTGTTTTTCCAGTTGTTGCTTTTGATTTTACTTTTTAAATGATCTTTTAAAGGTACAACTGCATTTCCTTGTAGGGCATATTTAGAATTTGTCCATGTTATCAGCTGGGGTCATGTGTCAGTTCCAACAAAGAAAAAAGATCCAGCTTTTGCCTCAAGATCAGATGCATTTATCCTAATGTTGCAAAGTGAATTTTCTTTCTGCATTCCTCTGTGCCTTACTTCTAAAAAAGAAAATGCTGTGACATGAAACTCGGTTACATGAAGTTTAGACAGCAAATTGCCACTTGTTAACATGATGAAAATTTCCCATGAGAATGGATTACATTTTGCATGTTGCAGCATAAGAGTAGAGTTTATCATGCAGTAGCTTCTGGATCAAAACCCTTGTGTGCTGCTGACAGAGGATTTTTTTTCTTCTTCGTTCTCACTAACGTACTATGTGAATCTTCTGTTCTGAAGCATTAACCAGCAGCAGCAGCCTCATGTCTTGGGTGTGCTGCCTCAGACATTTATTTCGATTGACAGTGGTTTGTTTCCTAGTAAGGCCAAACATCAAGTCACACTAAAAGCACGGGTCTGTTCCATGTGGCTTTAGGGTTGTGTCTGTTCATTCTTCATTGCAGGGTTAGAAGGTAAGCCAAGGAAAGGAGAGTGTCATCTTAGGAATTTCTCATATGCCCACTACAGACTGGTTTTACCACCAACCTCACAATTCACAAGGTGGCTATAATGCCCAGGACTCACTGAAGTGTGTTTCCCACCTAGAACACGGAGAGATTTCCTGTTTGTTGCTGACTCCTCAGCTTCCAGAAGATGGTTTGTTTTTTTTTGAATTTGATGTCTGTTTTTTCTCATTCTACAGAACTACCTTCGTGTTGCGTTCCAGGAAGTTAACAGTGGCTGTACAGGAAAGACCTTGCTAGTAAGACCATACATCACTACTGAAGATGTATGTCAGCTTTGTGCTGAAAAGTTTAAAGTGGACAATCCAGAAGAATACAGCCTATTTCTTTTTGTTGACGACACCTGGCAGCAGCTGACAGAGGATACCTACCCTCAGAAAATTAAGGCAGAGTTGCACAGCCGTCCACAGCCCCAGGTCTTTCACTTTGTCTACAAGCGCATTAACTGTGATCCATATGGTGCCATTTTCCAAAACAGTGATGACTCAGCTTCTTAAAACCAGCAACTCATCATTTAATTTCTGTTCCTTGTTAACTGTTGAAAACATCTTTCTTGGCTGCCTTCCTTAGGACATAAAACACGTCTAAAACCATAAATGCCTAGTAAAACACACGCAGACACTTGCAGCATTGCTTACAAAACCCCATGTAAACCATGCATATGGCCAGTTATGCAGAATATTCCACCAGCGTGTTTCAGTAAACAGCCCGTGAAGTTGAATTTCTTGTACTGGACTCTTTTGAAACATCTTATACTGTGGCCCTTTGCAGGTCTTTTGCTGTAGTGTGCAAAAATCTATTTTCTTACACTCATCCTTTAGCCAAATGTCATTTTGATTTTAAATATATGTATGCTAGACAACTATTTCAGTAAACTGGCTGGTATGATCTCAGTTTCACCAGCATGAGATTGACAAGACTGTCCGATGCAGGGCATCAGTTAACTCCTAATTACCTGGATGATTGCATCCTTTCCTAAGTTTTTAATTACAGAATCACCATGGTTTTATATATATATATATATATATATATATATATATCATAGAAATTTTATAGCAGTTGCAGGTAAACTGTCAGGGTTGGTTTTTGAAATATTTTTTTAACTATAAAGTATTCTATAATTATGCATGTGATTTTAACATTTAATATACAAGAATAAATCTCTTGCTGGTTTTAGAGTATTGCATTAAAAGTCTTGTGGTTTCTCATCTTTTCCTGTAACAGGAGAGTTCTTACAAAACTCCTGTTATCTGTAAGAAGATTGTAACATTGGCACTGGCAATTTCAGTGCCTTTATCTGAATATGATGTATTGTTATCTGGACTATTGTTTATATGCATTGTTTTTAGACAGAACTGGGGTGTTGGAAGAGGAAATTGAAATAAAAGGTTATAGAGAAGGGGCAGAGAAAGAATGTAGAAAACATGATTTGTGATTAAAATGTGTTAGTCTGCTGGTTCAGGCTAAGTGAAGAAGGTTGGAACTTTTATGTAAGTAGTATTGTAGATTTGCAAATGGATGTGACAACACCTATCTCAGATACTGTTTATGTTAGCAGAGGATTAAATACATCATTAAGGTGAAGGACACCTCAACTGTTTTGTGTAGTCTGTCACCAACATCAGAATGTTTCTTGGACTGAAGAATGTGTTGTAGCATTTCATGGTTCTAAGTTACTCAGTAGGTGAGATGTGAAAGTAAGTCCTACATATGCAAAGATAAAATGTGTGTTCTGCACGTTCTATAGAGCTTAGATTTATCTTGGATAAATCTACAGGTTTATCCAAGATAACCAATGCCATGGGTAATGCTGTGGACCCTCATCATGTCAGTTAGCGCTACTCTTTAAAAAGACATGGGGTTCTCCCCAAGTCTGCTGCGAGCAGTGTAACACAAGGCAATGATTACAAAAATGTCACTAGCAGCATGTGTATTGTACATAGGAAGATGTGTAGCATTTTTGTGAGTTTGCCATATATCTGAAACTCTTTGACACGTTTGTATATCATTTTGTAAATGGTGAGTTTTGCACATAATACATTGTAATACTGAATCATCATTTGGGATGTTGTGTGCTGTGGTTTTTGGGGTGGGTTGGGGGGTGGGGTTTTTTTTGTTTCTTAAGAAATGGTTTGTACTTGAATATTTTGTGTATCAGTAGACTCTGCTGCTGCTGCGTTTTTATACTGCTTATCCCTCTTTAAATTCTCTGGAAAGGAAGGATGCAATAACATTAGTTAACATGCTTGACCTGAACAGTCAGTAGAAGCAAGCAGGTGTTTATCTTGACTGCCGAACCATTTCTTCTGAAGTTAAGACTCACAGTAAGTGCTAAAGAAAATTTTGCTGCTTTCATATGATGGGAAGAACTCAAGCAGGGAGGCACAGTATTAAGAAACTCAGAATTAAGGCATGAAATGAAGGAAAAAGAGTGCAAAAAGGTAAAATGCCTGCGCAAACCACCTCAGCAGAATCCTCTTGTCTGTCTTGTGCAATTGATTCTTTTGAAAATTGGACTATTTTATTCACTGTTGTGCAAACACTTCTCATAATGCCAGGAACCACAACAGAAAAACTTTGTACGGAATTTGGACTTGTAAAAACAAGCTCTTTCATTGCCTCCAGTGCAAAATATTTGATGTTACAAAACACTGAAATGCATGAAAAAAACTTAACAGTGGAGGTGTTCTCTCTTTACTACTCCTTCTTTTTGAAGAGAACTGAATGGGCAAGGAAGTAAAGCTGGAGGCACTTAATTTCTAAATCTTGCTAATAAAATAAGCTTAATAGAAAAGTTAATACTTCATTAGGGGATTATTTGTGAATTCACAGAAAGTACATGCTGCACAACCGTAAAATACCACCAGCAGCAGTTTAAATAAAATCCAGCTTCTGTCCTTTCTCCATGATATTTTACGTCTTTACGGCATC